AAACACACAAACGGAACAGGACCCCACAGGTGCCCCACTGACCCATCCTCCCAGGAACCCCGGCGAAGGCTCAACCCCACTCCCACACCCCTTCTCCGGTCAGGTGAGCAAGTCAGTTCCGGGTGGACAAGAAAAGGTCTCCCGGACGCCCCCCGGTGCCGTACAAACGCCCCTTGGACCAGGCGCGCGAGGAGTTCGGGCCCTTCTCCGGCCTGGGCCGCTCGCCAATGTCGCCTCCCGGGACCGAGAAGAAACGTGATTCTCTCTCTCACTCTGCCGGTCAAGGGACCCACAAACAGCACCCCGAACTCCGGACCCCGCGCCCCGAGGCCCAGACGCCTAGCTAAGGGCGCGCGAGGCCGCCCTGCGCCCCGACGTCCCAGACGGGCGCACATGCCCCGCGCCGCTCACCTGGCTGGCGCGGTAGGTCTCGAAGGCCCTCAGGGCACTGTCAGTGAGCTTCACGTGAAACACGGACACCTTGCTGCCGTCGCTAACCCGCCCGCACGAGAGCCCGTAGCTCCTATCCTCCTTCAGCGCCGCCATCTTGCGACCATTGCTACCCGGCCCCGCTTCCCTGCTCCGGAGCGGGCGCGCCAGCTACGCCCCGCCCCGCCGCCTGCTAACGTGCTACATTATTCATGACGCGCTGCCCACACCGCCTACCACCGACGCCACACGGCCTGTCGACGTGCTGCATTATTCATGACACAAGGCTGGCCACGCCCCCTGCGAGCCGGTGGAGCCCAAGTCACTGTCCCGACATCCTGCATATTCATGAAGCCTGCCTGACCCACCTCCGGGGCGCACTTCCGCTCCCGGACTCCGCCTGGACACGCGCACGTCTCCACGACTGGCTCATATGTGTTATTCTTTGACTCAGCTAGGCACGTCTAAGTCCCGCCCCACCGGCCACTGACGTAATGTATTATTTATGAGGTCTCTTCAAGCCAGTCTTTGGCTTCGGTGGAGTCACAGTGAGAGAGTAGAGGGGGCGGGGCCGGTGCAAAACACGTGGAGGGCGGAGTCAGCGGCTGGCCAGGAAGGTAGGCGTGGCCATGCAAACCAACGGAGTTGAATGCTGAGGTTGCTCTGGTGGGCTTTAAGGTGGGTTTAAGGTAGGAAGATGGGATTCTCCCCGGCCCCCCACCCCTGCAGCTTTTAGGGAATTAGGGGAGCTGGTGAATTTTGCTCATGATAAAAGTAGACTTTTAGCCCTACTGGCTCAGTGTATACAGCCTCAGCTTGCAGACTGAAGGGTCCCGGGTTCAATTTCAGCCAAGGGCAGGTACCTTGGTTGCAGGCTTGATCCCCAGCCCTGGTCCAGGCTGTGGAAGAGGTAACCAATCACATCAATGTTTCTGTTTCTCTCTCTCTCTCTCTCTCTCACTGAAAAGCAATGGAAAAAATATCCTCAGGTATTAAAAATAAAATGTGTAAAATCCAGCGGCATTTAGTAATTCACAATGCTGTGCAGCCACTACGACTATCTAATTCCAGAACACGTTAATTACCCCAAAAGGAAACTCCATACCAAGTCACTCCCCATGTCCCCTCCCCAGCCCCTGGCAACCACTGACCTACTTTCTGCGCCTATGGATTTGCTAATTCTGGTTGCTAATTCTGGATATTTCCTATCCATAGAATCATACATGTGACCTTGTCTGGCTTCTCTTCCCATTGTTTTTGTGCTTCAATCCATCCTGTAGCCTGTCAGTGCTTCATTCCTTTTTATGGCCAAGTAATATTCCATTGTGTGGATTGACCATTTATCTATCATCTGTTGATAGACATTTGGGTTGTTCCCACTTTTTCACTATTATGAACAGAGCTGCTGTAAACATTCATGTAGAAGTTTTTGTGTGGACAGATGTTTTCCCTTCTCTTGGGTCTTTACCTAGGAATGAAACTGCTAGGTCATTCTATGTTTAACCTTTGGAGGACCTATCAGACTATATATTCCATAGAAACTGTGCCATTTTATCAAGCTCCCATTTTACAGGTGGGGAAATGAGGCTGAAAACAGGTGCTCGCTTGCTCAGGAATCCTCCTGGGTTCCTGGGCCTCCTGACCTATGGAGAGCTCTGGAATCATTTTCTCTCTCTCTTTAATCTAATTACAGATGGTGGTCATAGGATGAAGATTTTGAGGTAAGAGAGGAAGGTGAAGTTCAGAGACCTTCTGTATGTCCCTGCCCAAGTGATCTTGTTAGTTCTGCCCACCACTGCCAGGCCAGCACTATCTAATCCATTTATTCCCCTGACCATGAACTGCTGAGGCTCTGTGCTCAGTGCTTGGCACCCACAACTGCCTTTGAGGATAGATAAAATGGTTTGGGCCCCACAGCCAGATGAGGAAACTGAGGCTTGGAGAAGTTAAGAGAATTAGCAACACTGCAGCCATGGGCTGTACTGCTTGGTAACCAGGATTTCTCCATTTTATATTCACTACCCTAGAGCCTTCNGGTATTAAAAATAAAATGTGTAAAATCCAGCGGCATTTAGTAATTCACAATGCTGTGCAGCCACTACGACTATCTAATTCCAGAACACGTTAATTACCCCAAAAGGAAACTCCATACCAAGTCACTCCCCATGTCCCCTCCCCAGCCCCTGGCAACCACTGACCTACTTTCTGCGCCTATGGATTTGCTAATTCTGGTTGCTAATTCTGGATATTTCCTATCCATAGAATCATACATGTGACCTTGTCTGGCTTCTCTTCCCATTGTTTTTGTGCTTCAATCCATCCTGTAGCCTGTCAGTGCTTCATTCCTTTTTATGGCCAAGTAATATTCCATTGTGTGGATTGACCATTTATCTATCATCTGTTGATAGACATTTGGGTTGTTCCCACTTTTTCACTATTATGAACAGAGCTGCTGTAAACATTCATGTAGAAGTTTTTGTGTGGACAGATGTTTTCCCTTCTCTTGGGTCTTTACCTAGGAATGAAACTGCTAGGTCATTCTATGTTTAACCTTTGGAGGACCTATCAGACTATATATTCCATAGAAACTGTGCCATTTTATCAAGCTCCCATTTTACAGGTGGGGAAATGAGGCTGAAAACAGGTGCTCGCTTGCTCAGGAATCCTCCTGGGTTCCTGGGCCTCCTGACCTATGGAGAGCTCTGGAATCATTTTCTCTCTCTCTTTAATCTAATTACAGATGGTGGTCATAGGATGAAGATTTTGAGGTAAGAGAGGAAGGTGAAGTTCAGAGACCTTCTGTATGTCCCTGCCCAAGTGATCTTGTTAGTTCTGCCCACCACTGCCAGGCCAGCACTATCTAATCCATTTATTCCCCTGACCATGAACTGCTGAGGCTCTGTGCTCAGTGCTTGGCACCCACAACTGCCTTTGAGGATAGATAAAATGGTTTGGGCCCCACAGCCAGATGAGGAAACTGAGGCTTGGAGAAGTTAAGAGAATTAGCAACACTGCAGCCATGGGCTGTACTGCTTGGTAACCAGGATTTCTCCATTTTATATTCACTACCCTAGAGCCTTCCAACAGGACCCCAGGAAAATAGAAGAATCACCAGGCATTGGTATGGTTTCCAAAAGTCACTAAGAACTAAGTCACCCAAGAAATTGAAAGCTAGTTCATCACCTTGGGATAGCCCCTTGATACATACACTACCTAGCAAGCTCACTGCAGAATCTCTAGCCTTTATACTGGCTATGCTGCTGCTGCCCAGACACCGGGCTCTCAGCTCACTATACTACAGACCCCTGTAATTGTTGGTCTCAAAGAAGCCCCCAGTTAGGTCCCATCAGGGTCTGTTTTCAGTTAACAGAAACAAGACAGGATGGGGTAACAGGCATAGGGGGGCATGAACTCCTATGGAGTTCACTGCTGGGCACTCTAAGCACATTATTCCAGTAAGACTGGTCTGCTGTGGCCCAAAAGGAGACACCCCAACCCCCCACCCCCACCTGGCTCTGGCCCAGCCCTAAGTGGCAGTGAAAGTAGGCTCAAGAGCCAGCAGAATGCAGGGTGGGAGACTTTATTTCACTTGGGGGGGTGGGTAGCCTGGACAGAGGGCAGCAGGCTAGGCAGGAGGGGCTGGCAATTGGACAGGAAGTGGATGGGGAAGGGCTGCCCTGAGGCCCTGGGAAGGAGAAACTGAGGCAGGCCCCTGTTGAGACCTAGCCCAGGGAGGGAGTGGGGGGGTAGGAATTGGGTCTGGAGGAATAAGGGCCCCCTCCTTCCCAGCTGGACATGGGGCCTGGGCCCTGCCTCATTTTCCTCCTACAGGGCCTCAGTTCCTCCTGCTCACTGGGCCAGGCGACCCTCAAACCTCACTGTCCCTGCCCCAGAGGAGGGGGCTAGGCCAGAAAGGGTAGTGGACAGGGAGCCTGGGAGAGTTAGGGAGCGCGGGGTGGGGTTCACGGTGCTCAGAAGGGGTAGCGGCCACCTGGGCAGTCAGTTCCTGGCAGCGATGACCACAGAGAGCGCCACGCCCCCCAGGGCAACAGCAGTTGCTCCAAACAGCCACTTCCATGGGATGGACTGTAGATAAAAGGGAGGAAGGAGGAGGCTGGAGGGCAGTCAAGACTGATATCTTGGGCCTCAGGTACCAACAAGGTCCACACAGGCCTTCCAGCAAGCCATTGCCTAAGCATGCATTTCCTGCCTCCCGGCAAACTCCTACACATGCATCAAAGCTCAAGCCAAATCTCCCCTCCTCTGGGATACCTCCCCTTCCCCTCTGGAAGAGCCATCACTCCCCACCCCAAACTCTACAGATTGTGTTCTGCCTTCTGCTTTGACTCAGGTCACATAGGGCTAGGGCCTGTGTCCCCAGCATGGTCCAGCACAGCCCAGGTGACAAGGACATCAATGTTTGCAAAATGAAAACACTCCCTTTACGTGGTCTACCCTGCCCCTCCACAAAGAGCCTCCCTGCCCACTGACCCCAGCTCACCCAGGCACCCTTGCCAGGACACTTGGCAGGAAGCCGGCTGGGGTTGCCCAGCATTTTCCGGTACAGGGCGGTCTCTGTGCTCCGCTGGGCTGCGTGCTTTTTCACTAGCTTCGAGAGCTCCGCATGGATCGTCTGGGAGAGGTGGGTGGCAGTTGGCCTAAGAGCATGCCATGGCAGCAGCCAACATGACCGCCATTGCTAGCACTCTGCTTTTCTGGTGCCCTGGGTTACTCTGGGACTGGGACCACTGGAACATGACGGTTTCATCTACCACTCTCTGGGCATCAGCAAAGTGGGGACTGCCATTTCCATGTCTCTAAAGAGCCCATGGACAGAGCAGAGCACAAGGCTCTGGGAGGAAAGCTGGGGACACTGGCACTGGCCCAGCTGGCGGTACCCTTTGCTTCTGGAACCCCTAGTTCAGGATGAGCCTATGTAGGGGTAATGAGGGTCTCCGCAAGCTGGTTGGGGCCCTTCAGCCACCTACCCCCTGCCCAGGTAGACAGACAACAGGGAAAGCCACAGCAAGAAAAACAAAGGAGAGATGACAGGAGGGACTTCCCAGACATGCCTTAAGGCAAGTCCCCAAAGCACCTCCATTCTGCTCACCTTGTTGGAAGGTTCCAGCTTCAGGGCTGCCCTCAGAATGGGGATGGCCTCACTGTACTCCCCTTGCTGGGCCAGCACCTGTGAGAGGAAGTACGTGGCATCACTCTGGACCCACACTAGGCCATGCTTTCTTTCATGAAACCCAGCCCCACTAGGCTCCTGGCCACCCTGACAAGTCCCAAATCTATCCCCAGGGGTCCAGTTACTTTATGCTACTCTCCTGAACCCTTAGACTCTAAGAGCGCCCCACTGAATTCACTGTTGTACCCCTGACCTTCTCTTTTCCTCAGTGTTTGTCTCGGCTTGTGCACAAGACCTGATTACCCTCTTCACCTACTCTTTCCTCACCACCTTGACTGGACATTTCCAAGATAAATGATTCAGAACCAGCATGTGCCTCAAGCCAGCCAATGAGATCCAGCCTGAAATATGCTGATGCCACTGGGAATCCAATTGTTAAGTGGCAAGGATGCAAGCCTGGAGTTTTTTGGGGGGGGCAGGAACAAGCATCTTGGTTACTCCCAAGAGAAGAGCCTGCCTGAGAGAGAAACCCCCACAGTAGACAGACACAGCATTCCCACAACACTGCTAACACCTGAATCCAGCCCTGCCTGAATCCAGCCACACTGTACTTGCCAGTGTCACAAACCATCAATTCCTCCTTTTGCTCAAATCTGTTTGAGTGGGTTTCTGTCATCTCCAACCAGCAAATCCAAATGTGTGAGCTACATGAGCAGACAGCCCCATGGCCCCAAGAGGATTATAAACCCTTGAAAAAAAGGAATACCATCATCTTTCTCTCCACATTTCTGTGCATAACTCTACGCATAGCAAGTGCTTAAAAAATGCTGGCTGGAGGGAGACCCTGCTCAAGTCTCTCATAAACATGCTAGGTCACCCAGTGCTTGCTTGCACCTCAGTTTTGTTTACTGCTAAAAGGTGCTGGAAAAATCCCCCTGTTCTTCCCCATCTAAGGTTGCTGTGAAGATGAAAAGATGGAGACAAAAGCAATTAAGGTCAAACCAGTGCAGACCAAATTCTCTATGTTACACCAGCACCTACTGTGTGCCCAGCCCTCTTTGCAGGGTGGGTTAAAGATTTAGCAGTGAGTGAGACAAACGAAATCCCCATATCCTAGCAGAGGAGATAAACAAGAGGTTTGATACTTCCATGTGCTGAGGGCAACATGGGAAATATGAAGATGGGAAGGGGTTGTGGGGGGCAGCAGGGAGGGCTTCCCAAGGAGGCGACATCAAAGCGAAGATCTTAAGAAGACGAGGGAAGAACCCATGGGGGTACCTGGGCTATGAATGTCTTGGCCAGAGGGAATTGCCTGTACAAAGGCATTGAGGTAAGGAGGCTGAATAGGATGGAGAAGAAAGAGGTGAGGTGGAAGGTGACAGCAGGAGAAGGAAGATCAGAAGGCTCAAAGCCCCAAGGGCTGCAATGAGAACTTGGCTTTTGCTCTGAAGGACATGGGAGCCACAGAGAATGTATGCAATGAGCAGTCACCATTGGGCCACAGGACAGGGTGTGGCAGCCTAAGATTTGGATTCATGTCTAACCTCAGTCAATGAACTGCTGTGTGACTCAAATCACACCTCTGCACCTGTCTGGGCCTTAGTTTATCTATCTGTGGCCCAGAGAGCTTATCTGGCTGATGCCTATGCCCTTTTCAAATCCTGGCTTCAGTACCAGTCCCACTGGTCTAGGCCAGGGGAGCCAGCCTGCCACCTGTGCCTATGGCCTGTGGCCTACCCACCCATGGCCTACCTTGCCCTTGCGGAAGAGTGCCTTGATGTTGTCAGGCTGGTGCTCAAGCACGAGGCTACAAGAGCGCAATGCAGCCCGGTAGTGGTCTAGCTTCAGCTGCGAGGCTGCCAGGTTGTTCAGACACTTCACCTTCAGCTGCAGGAGCTGCTCCTCTTCCTCAAATGTCATGTCCACTGTGGGGGGACAGTGCTCAACTGTGGCAGTCGTTACCACACCACCAGCCCCTCACAACTACCTGCCCACTACATGACCTGGGCCAAGGCCCACCCCTCTGCACCTGGTGTTAGAGGAGACTTGGGAGGGGTCCCAGGCATGGGAAGTTGCTCCTCAAGGGACCTGAGGCCTCCCTGGCTTCAGTCTCCCCATCTCTAACACAGGCCAAGACTATTCCATCCTCAGGGCACTGCCAAATCGGAGCCTAAGTGAAGCAGAGGCTTAACCACACATGTGGAATGATACCATCTGCAGTCACCCACGCCCCCACATATACCTGTGTCCTGTGACATCTCATGGATCTGGAATTTACCACAGGGCTGGAGTGGGCCCTAGCCTAAAGGTTAGGGACAGTTGAGCATCTATCCATATTCTGGAATATTCCATAACACTCTTGAGTCTCAGGCCCTCTATGGCTTAAGGTTTCTGGCAATAGCAGATGCCTTTGCAGAGGAGGGGGGTGGATTTCACCAGGCGGTCACCTTTGGCGCTGGAGGTGATGGCCTTGATGGCGAGGTCATAGGAGTTGGCAGCCAGCACGAAGTCAGCCCGCTGGTAGTGAGCATTGCCGCACTCCCGCTTCCGGTTGGCCAGTGCCACACGTTCCTGCCCTGTGAGCATCTCCAGGTCAGGTCCATCCACAGCTGTCTTCAGGGTCACCTCCAGGCACAGGGCCGCATGAGGGGGAATATATGGGCTCCTGCTGGGGGATAGGGTGCAGGGAACACTCAGACCTGGCAGCCACCATGATGGCACTCCAGACACACTGGGCAAGCTTGGGAGCAGGAAGAAAAGGATCCAAGTCCTAGCGCTGGCCCTACTCAGTAAAACACAAGGACTCTTTCCACCCTTGAGCTATGACTTGGTGAGTCACATACTTACCTCCTCCCTACCTCAATAGGGACCCCTGCAGCAGCAGGTTCTCACCTGCCCTGGGGACCATAGCAGTACTTGGAATCAGCAGTGACCATAGCTGTCTCCCCCACATCCATGAGCGGGATGCTGAGATCCAGGGCCTGGGTATGCAAAGGTATGAGGGTTAGGTGGGTCCAGATGCAGCCCACCCAGCCATCAACACCTCCACCTCCATCACACCCTCCATTCCACCTTTGCCCCATCCCAGACTGCCCAGACCCCAACCAACTCTCACCTGAATGACATCACAGTCACCCAGGGTGAACACCAGCTCTGGCTCCTCCTGCACCCGTGTGCCATTCTCCAGTGACGTCTGCAGTTGCACTGTGACCACTTGGCCCTTGGCCGGGCGACTTGAGCCAGGTGGACCTGGGACCAGTGTCTTCTTCCTCAACAGCCCATTCCCTGCCAGGGACCAAGGAGAAGCAGTCTGTCACCAGGTGGCTCACCAGGTGGGCACCTGCTCTCCAAGCCCCTTCCTCCCCCAACCCCTACCAGCTCCACCCATCCTGAGAGTGGCCTAGCACCAGGGGATAAGTTGAGCTTCTTCGAAAGGCTGCTCTGCCACTTACTGGGCAGGTAACCCCACACCTTTGGGCTTCAGTGTCCCAGTAGTCTATAATATACCACTGGTCAGGAATATACCGTAAGTCTGAGTGGATTCTAGTCTAAAGGTTAGGGACAGGGAGATATCTATTCATATCCTGGAATATTCTATAATGTTCCAAATTTGTGTGCTGCTCCCCAACTTGTTCATGCCCCCACATCCAGCCTAAGAACCAATGATCTAGTGGATCTTGGGGGACCCTGTGTGTTGAGATTTCAGGGTTCTAATGGTAGATACGCTGACAGGGTCACAATCAAGCACTGCCTCTCATAGGGAAAACTTTGGGCATTCTCAATGCCTCAGTTTCCTTGTATAGAAGCCTGAATTCTGACCTCAGGACATAGCTGATTGTGAATATAAATGAACAAAGCCAGCCTCCTGCTCAGAGGAGGAACAGGGAAGCTCCTAGTATCAGTAAAGAGAAGCCTCTATGTTAGAAGACTCTAACACAGCCAAAGAGGCTCTGTAACCTTGGGCAAGCGCCCTCACCTATCTGAGCCTCAGTTTCCCCATCTGTAAAACGTGGGTATGGTAGGACTTACATCACAGGGTTGTTTGAGGATAAAGTAAGATGTTGCACAGGCCTGACACAGAACCTGTGGGCAGTGAATATTACCTGGTGTTATTTTTAGTAGTAGTGACGTTTTTATCAGCAGTGGAGGTAACATTAATAACAATGCTGTTTTATCAGCATTAGTATTATTTTACACTATTGGTTTGGTGCCAATATAAATGGTAGTAGGAACAATGACGTTTGACTATTATTTGTGTGGCACTAACATTATTTAACATATTAGATATCAGTATTAGTAGCAATACGTTTCTCTAGCTTCCAGAGTTGCTGTGATGGGGTCCATGGTGGGGACATGTGTGTGGATTCCCCAAGTCCTTTCTTGAAGGACTTCTCTGAGCAATTAGAACACTAATGAAAACCGTGAACCGGACAGAGGAATGAACAACAAATTGGGGTGTTCCCCAGGTCTATGTGATCTCAGGACACATTTTTCAAGGGACAGGCACTTGTCAGGCAAAAGCCAAGAAAAGAAGCTGAGCCCGGATGGTGTGTTCAGTGGTTGAGCATCAACCCGTGAACTAGGAGATCACGGTTTGATTCCAGGTCAGAGAACATTCCCAGGGTACGGGCTCAGTGCCCAGTAGGGGGCATGCAGGAGACTGCCAATCAATGATTCTCTCTTATTGATGTTTCTATCGCTCTATACCTCTCCCTTCCTCTCTCTGAAGTCAACAAAAACATATTTTAAAAAAGAAAAGCAATTGTGGAGGTTGGGAGCTTCTGGCACCCGGCATGCTTGCTGTGTGGCCCTGGACAGGTGACTCAGCCTCTCTGAGCTGGTGTGTGTGTGTGTGTGTGTGTGTGTGTGTGTGTGTGTGTGAAAGAGAAACAATGAAAGGGCTTCATAGACATGAAACATCCCAAGTAGCTCCCTGTGCTGTGTCTGGCAATCACCGTGATTACCACATATTTTACTTCCAACCTACTTCATGGCAGAGGTGGGGAAATGAGGCTCAGGAGGAGAAAGCTTGGGCAAAGGTCACTCCTGAACTGTAGCTGTCTGGGTAACCCTGTGGGTCAACCCTAGTCACCCCTGCACCTTACCCAGGATGTCCAGCCACTCGTCCGGGGCTGGAGCAGGCTCAGGCTCAGGCTCCATGGCAGCCAGGAACTCTCGGGCCAGGGCCCCTGGCTGTTCGGTCTCCTCCAGTGGGGGCTGTCCCATGTCCTCTAGTGGTCGCACCTCACTCAGGTTCTCCTCCTCTTCCTCCTCGCCCTCTGTATCTTCCACCCCATCCAGCACTTCGAAGTCCTCAAGCGGTGGGACCCCAGCAGGAGGTGGGGCGGCAGGCTCAGAGTCCACGGCAGAGGGCTCAGCACAGGATGCCATGTTGCTGGGGAGATGGGAACTGGCCCTGGTGGAGGGAATGGATGGGGGTAAGAATCCCACCCAGCCCCTCAATCCACCTGTACCTGTACATCATTCTCCGCACTGTGGGCCACTTGCTATCTGACTCAGGGGCTCCAGGCCTGTTTCCTCATCTGCATAGTGGATAGAGCAACGACCCTGGCTTGTCCAGAGAATTTAAGGACCGAAGCATCAAGCCCTGGGCATCAGGCTCAAACACAGTTAGCTATTATTAGAGCTAAATAATATTTAATATTTATAAACACCCCAGGAAGTAGGAAACATACCCCCACATTTTGCAGAAAAGGAAACTGAGGCCCAAAGGAGCAAAGCTATTTGCCCAAGGTTAAACAATAAGCCAACTGCAGGGGCAGGATTTGAACCTGGGGTTTTATCTGATTAAATGTCCAGAGGAGATGCTGGGTGGTTTTTAAGTGGACAATCCCTGAGGTCTTGGGGAGACTATTTTTAGAGCCCAAGAGAAGGAGAATTAAATCTTTACCAGGGCTCCCCATCTTCAGCTGCCCCTTCTCCTAAGGGGAGCCCCCTGCTAACTTCCCACCACCCAGAAACCCCAAGCCTTTTTCTTCCATACTCTGAACCTAAACGACACCAAAGACCGGGGCCCAAACTCTTCCTGGGAACCTCTCCTCAGGCCTCCTGACTACCCTCCCAAAGTGACCTGTATAGGAGTGGTGGAGATCCCCACAGCATTCTACATTCTCTTCCTTGGGCCATCAAGGACTACCCCCCTACCCTAGGCCCCAAGCTCGGAGGTGGTACAGCCGTCATTCTAACCCACAGCATCCTCCAGCCCTCCCCAACCCTCACCTGCCTGCTCTTCAAAGCTCGGGCCCCCTTATCTAAGACCCTCCCA